GGGATCGTGGATCCTATTTTTTTATTTGTCAATGAAATCTACTTTCTTTGCAGTAAAGGGCTATAATAATTGTGTTAAGATGATAAACAAAAGAATACATGGCTGCTTGTAGATATAGAATTTCTCTTCTCGTGTTCAACTCGAAGATAAATTCTATAGCTATGCGCGCCATGTATTATTCTCTGCATATCGCACACTCTTAAGATTATTTGTTATTCAGTTATTACGTTAGTATCTCGCCCACCTTTAGGATTCGTTTTCATTCGATATTACTTTAGTATCTCACGCACTTTTAGGATTCTTTTTCATTCAATTGTTACGTTGGTAACTTGTGCTCTTATAGGATTCTTTTTCATCCGATTGTTATGTTAGTGTCTTGTGGAATTTTAGGATCCTTTTCCTTTCGATTGTGATGTACGTATCGTGCGCACCATTAGGATTCTTTTACATTCGGTTGTTAAGTTAGTATCGCGCGGACTTTTGAGATTCTTTTTCATATTGTTGTTATGTTAGTATCTTACGCACTTTTATATTTTTTCATTTAATTGTAACGCTAGTTACGTGTGCACATTTACGATTCTTTTTTTTTTCGGATTGTTTTTCATTTCATTTTTACGTTTATATTTCGCGCACCTTAAGGAAATACTTTTATTGGATTGTTGTGGTAGTATCTCGCGCCATTTTAGGGATCTTTTTCATTGGATTGTGACTTTAGCATCGCGTAGACGTTTAGGATCCTTTTTTCATTTGATTGTAACGTTAGTACCTTGAGCACTTTTAGGATTCTTTTCCATTGGATTATTGCGTTCGGACCTTGCGCACATCAAGGATTCTCTTTTATCCGATTGTTATGTCAGTATCGCGCGGACCTTTACAAGTCTTTTTCACCTGATTGTTACGTAAGTAACCAGTAAACTTTTAAAATTCTTTTTCATTCGATTGCGCACTTGAAAGATTCGTTTTCACTCGATTGTTACGTTAGTATCTCGCGCACCTCTAAGATTCCTTTTTTATCCGATTGTTACGTTTATATCTCGCGCACTTTTTAGATCCTTTTTCATTCGATTGTTACGTCAGTATCTCGTGGACCTTTAAGATTCGGTTTAATTCGATTGTTACGTTAGTATCGTGCGCACCTATGATTCTTTTTCTTTGATTGTTAAGTGTGTTGCGTACCTTCAGTATTTTTTGTTCTGCCATTGTTACGTCCTTATCGGGCGCACTTTTATTTCTTTTTCCTAATGGGATTGTTGTGTTGGTGTCTCGCGCACTTTTTGGATCTTTTTTCATTTGATTGTTATGTATCTATTTAGCGTACTTTTAGGATTTTCTCACATCCGATTGTTATGTTATTGTTACGGATTCTTTTTTCATTGGATTTGACTTTAGGCTAGGTAAGGTTTGATCGTGAGGCTTCTTTTTAATTTAGTTGTTACGTTAGTTACGTGCGCAGATCTACAATTCCTTTTCTTTCGGATCTTTACGCAAGTATCTTGCTAACCTTTAGAATTGTTTTTCATGAGATTGTTACGTTTGTATTTCGCGCATTTTAAGGATTTTTTTCGTGGGATTGTTGCGTCAGTATCTAGCGGACATCAAAGATTCTCTTTTATCCGATTGTTATGTTGGTATCGCGCGGTCTCTTTGGATTCCTTTTCATTTGATTTTTATGTTAATATCTTTCGCAGTTTTAGGATTCTTTTTCATTGGATTGTTAGGTTAACATCTCGCACACCTTAACGATTCTCTTCTCTTGGATTGTTAGGTTAGTATCGCGCGCACTTTTACAATTCTCTTTCACTTCATTCGAACGTTGGTCTAGCTCTTTTTTTTTAGCTTTTTTAACATCAGTAAAAAATAAAAACGTGGTGGCCTGTTCAAAGACAAGTTATTGATGAAGTCGGCTATTTTTAATATTTAAGTAACAAGCGAAATAAAAAATATTTGTTAAGATTGTCATTAACAGAAGTACGTAAAACCATTGTCATTTTACTCTAAGAACCGTTGTAGACTCTCTTAGTTAAATATTCTTGTAGCTGTTCGCCATACTGCTATTCTCTTAGTTTTGACTCTCCATTTACCTATACCTCTATCTTCCTTTTATGTGTGAGAACTAGGATGATCTCAGATAAAGTAGCTGAGCTGTGCTGTGCTGAGCTGACTTGCAAATTAAGTACAGAAAAAGTAAGTTTAGACGTTGTTTAATGTTTTAATGCATTCCATAATTTTACATCAAAAATTATGTTGAACCGTTGTGTATACAAGTTAGCTGGTTTAAACTGAGCGACAAGATTTCCGGATTAATTCGCTGAATCAAACCATATGAACTAGAGCAAAACAAATACAGAACTTCAAAAAATTTAGGGGGCTAAACATCACAATCATTTGTTCAATGAAATGGTATGCTTATGCAAAGAAGATTAATGAAATGTGAGAGCTTTAAATTTTCGTGGAAGTTTTAAATTCTGTTGAGAATTTTCTAAATATTTGAAGTAAAACCAGAGAAAGATAACTCTTGGGTTATTTGGTTTCTAGTGTGTTAAAAGCCACATGTAATGATGTGATGTATGTAGGCATATTTTCTCTATTTGTCCTTTTAAAATAGATCTAGTAATTACAAAGTAATTTGGTATTATCAACTGAGTTGCGACTACAACTGCATATATGTTTGGAAGTGTTATAAGAGTGTAATGTATTCTTTCTCTCTCAAGTACTGTGAAGATTACATGGTCATAGAGAATGTCGTAAAAGACGAGTGGTAAGTTTAATTGCAGATGTTTAATGACACCCTAAAGTGAACATGTTTTCGTAGTCTTTTGTTGAGGCGTAAATTTGAATTGTTGTTGCAAATATTGGAAAATATATATAAAGCTGTAAGAATTCTCGTCTTCATGGGGCTCAATTTGAACGCATGCGTTTTGCTGTCATATTGTGTACCATACGTCACACCGTGGCTCATCATAAGTTTTTTTCTTTACCACCTCACAGATTTCACGCGAAAATGACCAAGTCGAGGAAAAACAGATGTCATCTTTAGAAAGAACGAAAAAATTGGGGGTCGATCCGCCACCATCCCCCACCACACCCGCCTCTTATAGACAGTTTTTTTACAAATGATAGAAGTTGTCTACCTTGTGGTAACAACATCTTTTAATACGCATGTGTATTACAAAAGACATTTAGTTACATAAAACTCGTACTTTTGGAGTAAATGTCAACACCACAAGGTAGACGACTTTTAGCATTGCTAAAAAAACTGTCTATAAGAGGTGGGTGTGGTGGGGGACGGTGGACGGGAGATTTTTAACATTTTTGCTATTTCCCTTCAGTTATTTAAAAAAATCACAACGTTTCATAATGGTTTATTTATTATGAGGTATCATAATGTACTAAACCAGTTTCCAACTCTAATGTACGAGCGGTGCAAAAGCTATCTGAGTAAATTTACAACTCTTGCTCTCCTTCTTTCTCGACTTCCTGGCTGGAAACTAACGTCTGTGTTCCTTGAAGTTCTCAATACTAAAATTAAAAGGGAAAAAAAACACATTCAGATAGTTTTGACATGATCCAACAAATTACAAATTAAATTTAATAAAAGCTTTGATTAAATCGCAAGAAAAGTAAAACCCAGAATTAAAGGATTTTTAGTTGCGTTTGCTTAAGTGAGAGCTACTCTTGTAAACTACGTGAGGAGACGATCCTTAACCAGAAGGCAATAAATGTACAGTTTAACTGGATTTTGTCTTATTACTCTCTTATCTTTTCACTTTAGATTAATTCTCTCAAAGTTGTTTCATTGTGAATATGTTGGTTCCCTTAATGATACATAAGAGATGCATAACTTTCTAACCTGTAATCACAACACCAACTATATGAGCTTGAAACTTTCAATCCACGTCGACATCACCAAAAACTCCCCCAAGAAAGTACATCAAAAAAATTTTTCATCTGCCAAAAAAAAGATTCGAGAACAAAAAAGATTAACAAATTGACTAAATTGGCCCACGGCAATTTTTCGGTCTACTTACAACCGGGAAATAAATTAATAACAAATAGGTGGAATTCAAACCAACATAACCATACCAATATTGCAGTGAAAAGGGTTATTAAAATTACAGCTACCTTCAGTAACTAGATGACAGGATGACCCTCAAACAGAAGACAATAAATGTACAGATCCTCTGAATTCTGTTTCTCTTATTCCTTTTTTTTTTTAAATTCAAATCGTTGGATAGTGTGAAATTCACTCTTAGTATCGAATTTGTTGCGTTCAGCGAGTGAATTTCTTAAATGGCTTAGCATTTTCAGCAAATTTTTTAAATTTTCCACTGAAGCGAAAAGAGCCAAAAGCCAAACAGCAACGTTTAATTTAAGAATCGTTGTTCGACTAGGATCAACTCTCACAAGGTGGAAAGTCACAACTGCATAGAATTCAACGTGAAATCACCAAAATTTGCGTGTTAGAGAACTGACAACCCAACGACAATTGATATAAGTTAGAACTAAACACTGCTCACATACAATATGCTGAAGCTAAGACGTGGCACCGTTGGATAAAAAAAATACATCTTTTAATTAAAGTTCTCGACCGTTTTCCTCGGCGTTGCCATCGTGACTGCAAAAGGCCCCTACCGCTTCAATATCTAACCAATAGTTTAATTCTCTCAGCAATGTTACAAAGAGAATAAGATACACATTCGAGGGTCAATTGATAGCGTCTTGCAGCAAACTGCATCATCCAAACTTACAGAAATTGGTTCTCCTTAGGATATACATACGATGTACAAGTCTCTAACCTGTACTCAGGATATCAACACTATCAACTTGTAACTTTAAATCCACGTTGACGTCACCGACAATTCCTTGATGTCTTCGGAGAACAATTGTTCGTCTGCAATGAAATAATGAGAAAAACAAATATTTGATAGCACAGCACACGACAATGTTGCAGTATCTCGACAGCAGGGAAATAAACAACAATAAAGAGGTGGAGCCATTGGAAAAAAAAAATCATTTCTCTATGTTACCTTTGTCTTGCACTGTACTCCATGTCACTACCCCAACAACCCTGTTCAGGTAATCAAATCCCATAAAAAATCCCAAACAAGAATCCACCCAACAAATTTATTCCCAGTTTCCGTTCAGTAATAGATCACAGATGATGTCAAAATGTGGTAAGAACAAAAAAGTGGCACACACGGCGCAGTCGGGCGTGTCACTGATATTCTTCCCACATTTTTCTATCATAAAAAACTAAAATGTTATCAATAGTGACGCCATCTATGCGTCTGTCTCCCAGTGGATCATCAGTAAGAATCAATCAAAATGCATGTAGGATTCAGCTTAACATATAAATTGATCTTCAAAGCATTTCTTATTGGTCTAGTTTTCAGGTTCACTCATGTCACTACATCAATCCACTGCTCTTCAAATAATTTCTTGAAATTATATAAAAGTGATGGGTTGGTGATTTTTGTCAAAATTGTGATCAAGTGTTGACAAAGAAAAAGAAATTTCAATATTGCCGTGAGCTCTATGTTCTCAGCTAATTGCTTGGTCACTCAATCAGTCAAAGACCTGTTCAGTCAGCCAGCTAGTCATTCAACCAGTTATGTAGTCTTTACTTCTGTCATTCATCATTCAGCCAGCCAGTCCAAAAGTTAGTCAACTGCTAGTCAGCTAGCCAGTGTTTCTATCACTCAGTCAGTCATAGAGACAATCATCTGGCCAGTGTTTCTATCACTCAGTCAGTCATAGAGACAATCATCTGGCCAGTGTTTCTATCACTCACTCAGTCATAGAGACAATCATCTGGCCAGTTCAGTAAATAGGCAATCATTCATTCAGTCATACAGAAAACCAGCCAGTCCACCTGTCAATCATCTTGTTAATCAATTAGTGGCAAATCAATGTGTCTGTCACTCACTCAGTTAGTTAGTCACTCAGTCCACTAGTCCCTCCATTGATCTTAAAAGTTGGTCACTCATTCCGTCATCTACTTATCCTAACAGTCAACAGATTGATCAACTATACAGTCAGTGCCTCTTTTCAGTAACTCAGACAACCAGCCATCAAGTCGGTTGGTAAGTCAGTTACTAGGTCAGGAAGTCAGTTACCAGATCAGCAAGTCAGTTCTTCAGTCAGTCACTCATTTAGTCAGCGATTCAGTTTACAAGTCAGTGAAACAATCAGTGCATTATTCCATCCAGCAGCAAGTCACATAGCCAACCAATCAGTCCACTAGTTTTCAATGAGTCAGTGATTCCATCCCTTAATAAGTCAGTCAGACAATCAGTCAGTTGATTGGCCAGTGAGTCAGTCAGTTAGTAAGTAAGTTAATTATTTCAGTGGCCAGTTCATTCACAAGTTGTTTGTTTGGTCAATCAGTCATTAGACTATCTTGACTGTCCCTCAATAATTCAATCAATCAGTTGGTTTATTAGTCAGTCAGTCAGTGAGTTAGACATTCAGTCAGTTTGAAAAATTGATACATCAGTCAGACAGTCAATCAATCTCAGTCATATAGTATGGTAATAAACCAGTCAATCAGCCACCCAGTGTGTCCGTCATTTCTATATCAGCTGGGGAGTCATTGACTTACACATTCAATCCACTAAAGTCTCTTGACTGGGTGGTTAGTGAGTTACTCATTCAGTAATCCTGTTATTCACACAGTGCATCATATGGCTATCTGATGCTTGAGTCTAAAATTCATCCAGTCAAAAGCAATTCAATCAATCATTCACACTGACAGTTAGTCAGTCAGAGAGCCAGCATCTAAGTCAATTAGTCAGGCTCACCCAGTCCATTGATCAGTAAGAAAGTTGGTTGGTCATCCACTCATTAATCCAGAGCACCACTTTGTTACCTGATCAGTATTAATTTAAAAGTCAGTCAGTCAATTCAATCAATCAGTCATATAGTTAAGCTGTCAGTAAGTCAGAAAGTCAGTCTCTTGTTCTGTCACATGGTCAGTCAGTCACTCTGTAAGTCATTAACACTGTCAGCCAGTAATTTAGCCAGCCAGACAGTGTGTCTGTTACACAGTCAACTATTCAGTAATTGTGTCAGCCAGTCTGTGCACAAGTTCCTTTCATTAATCTTTTAGTAAGTCATTCAATCGTCCAGTCATCAGAGCAGCCCACCACTTGGTCTATCATTAGCCAGTCTCTAATTCACATACTGTAGTTGCTTAGTCAACTAGTCAGTCAAACAGTCTGCATCATTAAGTCCCAAAGTCAGTCATTTGCATGCAGTTAGCCTGTCAGTCCACTATAAAGTAGTTACCAATTAGTCAGTCAGTCAATCGTATAATCGATCCATCACTCAATTAGTGAGCGAGTCAGTTCATCAGAAAGCCAAGCAGTCATTCCATCAGCCCCTTAACAACCTAGTTAGTCAGACAATTGATAAGTAAAAAGGCTAGTCCATCACTCAGTCTCTCTGTCTGTCTCTCTGTCTGTAAGTTATTTGATCAGTTACTCAATTAGCCAGTCTGTG